AAAACTGCATTTATTAGCTGACATGTCAAGTTAAATGTGCTTCCTAGCTTCCTAGCTAGTGATACTTAAAAATACTTTTTCAGATACTTATGGCATAGCCCAACACCCAAACCATGGCTATGTCCAAAATATCTTCCTTGTCCCCTGCAATGGGAATTTCATGAGAACCATCTTTAAAACACTGCCATGTAACTAACCTCACTAGGGGCCTCCAGCCTCTTGGGTATGGGGTCAACGGAAGGTAAATGTGTGTGATGCTTTAGCATGTCCAGAGGGGTCAGGACTTTAAGTGGTTCACTGCATGTACCTTGGACATGGGTGTCTTTCTATAGATCCAGATTGAGTGTCCCTTAGGGAACACTGAAAGATACCATGTTCCTTTAATGAGATAGTACTCCGACCCTGAGACTAAGATAAAAGCTGCATGTGCTGAGACACTGCAGCTCACTCAGATGATACTCTCTGATGCGTATGTGTCCATGTGAGTTCCTTCTGCAGAAGACTGGAATAAAATTCACAGAAAGACAAGTGTTTGCTTGAGCTATTTATTTGAAAACTCAAATTGCCATCACACCCCCCATTTAATTTTATCTACATAATAAACATCAAGTAGTTTACTCTTAAATGAGTAGTAATAGTAGGGTGACCATACGTCCTCTTTTTCCCAGAACGGTCCTCTTTTTGGGACCTAAACAATGCGTCAGGCCTGGATTTCTAAATCGCACAAAATGTCCAAGATTCTTTCTACAGTCGGCATTCCATTGTATGTGTCAAAAACACATTGCTTTGACCACTACCGGCACTGTTACATTTAAATTTTTGACTTCATGTGAAGCCGAATGCATGACCTGCAAAGCTGGTATGTATATGTCAGTATTGAATAAATGTGCTAGCTAGCTAGAAACCTACATGTAGGACCTATTAAAGTACAGTTACATCCTGCTGGTTGGGCACCTCGATCTAGCTACTTAACAGGCAATCATCATTTATATGCCTCGTTTAAAGATACCATAAGTGATCATCATTAGCAGGGCTGATCCCGAATAGTCGAAGATTCGATGCTTCGATGGGCGGAGCCTGATTTGACTGTCAATCTCACAGTTGAAGCTTCGCAGTGAATCAAGGATCATGCCATTTTGCTCAACGTCTGATTTTACATAGAACTACTCATTTTCTCCCAATAAGTTAATATACAGCCTGTTACAATACACATTTCAACGTTTAATGCTGTAAATAAACTTGTAAAAAGAATAAAACTTTCAATAAATGTTTTTGAAGTGCGTGAATAAATCCAAAATTGTAACCCTAACCCTGGGTCCTCAGTGCGCATGTGTAAGCATAGTGTGTATGTGTGCAGTGGCAGTGGAGGAACACTTGCTGAAGAGCTCCAGCTTCACTGATGTTGTGCAGAGTTGTCCGCACCTTGCGGGAATTTCGGATAATTTATCACCGTTGATGAACCACATAATGAATATTTTATCGTTTTTAAATAGCCTGCTACTTGAAATAGACCTGCGAGGAACCATGATGTGCATGTAGTTGTTGGCAGCAGTAATACACTTAAAACACAAGACCGGTGAATGACAGGCGAGAGAGAGAGAGCACCTCAGTTTAGCTGGAAATTTACAGTGTAAGGTGAATGAAAAGAGACTGCAGCTCTGCAGCTTCATAAGATTAAAGCAGAGTTAGCGTGTGTAAAAGCAGTATATAAGAATACAACCTGTATGAGTTTGATAGGATTTAAGCCAGTGTGCTTCATATGTGCACAATATGAAAGTGTTCTTCTTCACACTCCAGTCCAGGACCCTTTTTTTAGATTTCTTTTAATTCCACAAGTTCATTGGAGCCAAAATAGCTCTTAAATGTTAGAGTGACGGAATACAGTAATGTAGCATTTCACTGTGTGGTAGATTAATCTCTGTTATCAAAGAATCTCAGTGACGTTGTCACTGTAGGATCTTTAATGTTCTTGCCACAGTCTAACCAACATTACTTATTATATAAAAGTGACTTCACTAGGATGTACTCCTCAGCTCACCTCCCATCAGAGACCCTCTCAGTCGCACTTGCCTTCGTGCTGTCTCTTTCTCTCCTTCAAACACACCACAGCAGCGTCTCACAGAAACAATAGGGACTCTATGGATTCCATCAAGACGGAGGCCTCTCCTCCCTTGTTTCATCTGTGGGTTTAGAGGCTTCGATTCAGGCTCTGAGTGACTACTGCTTTTCATCATCATCCAAGATAGGTCTCTGGTGTCCATCGCTCTTGCATTACTATTGGGATGAGTTAGCAGTGTTGCTGCTCACACATACTGTATGGGGAGGAAATCCACAGGCTTATAATTACAGCAGTGAAGAGATGGAAAAGCCATAAAATGGAAGCCATAATGATGAGTACAGGAATGTATTTAAAGGAATAGTCCAACATTTTGGGAAATACGCTGATTTGCTTTCTTGCTGATAGTTTGATGAGAAGATTGTTACCACATTTTTAAAACAGCTAGCCTGGCTCTGTCCAAAGTCTCACTAATTAACATACTTTAGAGTCCGAGTTTAATCATCAGGACATAAGATTAACACCTACGTTATAAAATATCAGAGTCTTTGATAAGAAGTTGAAGGTAAAGCCACTTACGGCGTGCTGCGGCTAAAGATTTCCCTGTCGAGACAACTTTTACCATCTTCAACTAAAGTTAATTCACTTATGGATTCTTCAATTATGACCCTGTGTTTTGTTCCCAACTGCAACAACAAAGTATTTTGAATTTGCTACTGCTCTGATTCATGCCTCTTTCAGGCTTTTCTTCATAGCAACAGCTTCCAAGGCTCATGGCTATTGTAGAGCCGCCCACCGTGCCAAAATGACAGACAAAACGTGATTTCTGAGAAACAAAGTTGAAATAATTAACACCAATAGCTATAACGTAAACCTACAGGGTTGTTACATTATCCAGGAGAATCCTGCGTATCGATGTAAGGTAATAATAGGCAGGATAAAACAACAGTTTGAAGGAAGCTGTGGCTTTGTACTTCCAGTTGATCTTTAGCTTTTTTAGATAGCTTTGTACTTATTGTAGAGAAGTGAGAGTGGTATCAATCCTCTCATCCAACTCTCTGCAAGAAAGTAAATAAGTATATTTATCAAAATATCAAACTATTCCTCCAAGAAATAAGGACAAATGAAGATGCAGTCATCCGCATCTGTATGTAACTGCTTGAGAGCTTCTGGTCCATCAAAACCACACCTCTGGGCTTTGGCCACATTTCACATGTAATTACATGTAATCCTTTAAAAGAAAAGCCAGAGGGAAACAAGTTGATCTAAAGACCCATCTGGACACTGTGACAGCTTGAGAATGGACAATACCAGAAGGACTTATGCCATCAGATAATATTACCTATGACACATGACATTGTGCCACTGGGTCAAGGCAAGATCCCACGATACAGAAACCAGAAAGTGACTCAACTGCTACCATGATGCACCTGCACTGCAAACAAATCAGGTGAGCCTAAAATGTTGCTTTGAATTCAATGCAAAAATATAAAAAGTACCAACAAGTAGGGTCATAAGCTCCTGACATTAGAGATGTGCTCCACATGAATCACCAGCCGCCCATTCCAGACAAAAAGTGAAGACAAGGACAATGCTGTCGTATGCCCAATGAGGTGTGCCTCCAATACTTTAATTTGTTATTTGAATTTGCAGGGATTTTTTTTAAATTCTTTTCTCTTTTCCGTCTGAGAGGGATAGAAAATACACTCCCAGCTCTGGAGTTTTGATGATAACAGAGAGACTTTCCATTATCTCTACACAACTCTTTTTATGTAAATCTCATTCCTGTTCCTTTTTGTGCCTTCTTGTGGCGGCTGTCCTGCACTGTGAGGAATAAAATCTGAAAGGCAGCTGGCAGTTTACACTCATTGAGTGAACAAAAATCTGCACCAATTAAGTAAGCCTTACAATCTGTGCTTATTCGGCTGATTACAGGCATTATCATTCCGGTAAATATAGTTTGAGAAATTAGAGGAGGACTTGGGGAAAGTCATCATATGGTTTCATGGAGCATTAGTGTGGTTTAAATTAGTTTTTATCACAGTGGAATCATAGCATTGCTGTTGACTTGACAGCTTAACTGTTTTTTATCTGATGCAGAGCTGCTGGGTAAAGATGGGCCAAAGTAAGTATCACTATTAATATTGAGAACTATCAAATACACAAGGTTAGAAAGGCATGCATTTGTCTACAGGCTGTAGTGGTTAACTTCGATAAAGTCTCCAGTAACACAGCTATACAGTAGGCTGTACATCACCCTGATGGTCTCTATTGAATAATTCCTGACCTTCTCCCCTTTGATAACTGTTGAAACCTCCCCAGCCCAATTAAAGGTTGCAGTTTGCTTTGTGAGTGTGGTGTATAATATATGTAACACCACATGAGCTTGATCACAGAGCTGGAATACTTGAATGTTCCTCCTATTACAAACACAATCTCCAAAAAATATGGCCCTGAGGAAAAAACAATCAACGATTGGGTAGCTTGCCTGGTTAAGCAGAAACATGTTAACCTCCTAACACTCATTCACGTCAACAAAGAGCATCATCTATGCACTGGTGCACCAGCCTCTTGCACAGGGAGAATTAAATGAAGGCATCAAAATTAAGGAGGGAGACGCGCGCGCGCGCGTAGAGACACACACAGGCAGTCTATGTATTTGGCTGTTAAGTAACAGCGAGATAAGCCTGAAATTGATGACTACGCACGAGCATTTTTTATAGATTTTGACATAAAACACAGATCACTTTAAAGTTTAATTCGTCAGCCGACTTTTGTGTTCACCCTGTATTATATGGCATGCTCTATTTAAAGGCGCGCTGATGAGAAAAAGCGCACGAAAACAAACGTTTCCCAAATTTGAGCCACAACAAACACGGACCAGTGTCGCCGTCATTATAAACAAAAATCAGCCAGGGTAATGAAGTTAAAATCAGAACTTTACCTTTAACTGCCGAATGCCGCGAGCATGTCATATATGTCAGCGCATCCTGGAAATAAGAGTCCGTAGCATTTGAGTTTTCCCTCCGATCGGTGCGGTTGTAACCGTGACTTCCATCCAGTTAGAGACAACACCTGCTGATCCGCGCATACATATGCTCGCGCAAACAACTGGTTGTGCTCTGTCAGCGGATTCCCATTAAGCACTATGGGATGGACGCGCCGCTGCGCAATGACGCACGCCATGGACGCGCAGCTGATTTGGAGTCTCCAAAGCTGCCCAAAATGAATTCCCAGAATATCTGCCATGATGATATCTGCTTTGCGTTACCCTGCCATTAGCCTACAGCATGAGTAAAAAAAACCCCAATATGTTGTGCCACCATTAAAACCATGAAGGACGTTTCTCTTTAATCACCCCCTTCAGAGCAGACAAAGGACATTTACTGAATATTTGTTTCAAACCCTCTAGAGCAATTCCCATCTTTCAAATGAAATAGATCACAGTGCAATAATGGGATACAGACACACAATGTATGCACTATGTTATCATTTTATCTCTATTTTGGTACTTTGAAGAAATCAAGTGACAATAATCCTGTCAGTACATGTTTCACGCTTTGCTGCAGCACTTAAAGCTATTATGGTTTCCAATCAGCTTCACCGGGAGAAAAATAGGTTGCTCTAAATATTCAGGAAATGAGGCTCAGGAGCTACAAGTCAGGATGGAGGATCTTGTGCCAAGGAGTTGGCCACTGCTGGAGCTTGTCATCATTAGCCTTACTTCTTTGCCTCTGTGTGGGTGTACTGAGAATACTTACATCCTAACCAACCCAAGGGCAGTGAGGCGGGCAGTCAGTCAGGCAGAAGCTAACCAGATTTTAGTGCACATGTGTGCCATAAGTGTTAGAGCTCAGTCACTGCATTGTAGGGCGGAGGACAGCCACAGTGGTTATCGAGAAACCACCAACCAATGGGTTAAAGCCCCCTTTGTTGGCAAACAGCCATTCGGCTGAAGCATCCTTAAGCAAAAGGAAAGGAAAGTGAGAGATAAACGAGAGGTTCCCTATAGGGAACATTAAAACATTAGCAGATTATTGGAATGGAGTATTTTAAAGAGGCAGAGATTCTCTGATAAATGAAAATTTCAATAAATAAAATCGAATGCAAGTGTCTTGGGAATCAGTTAAGTCTTGAAAAAGAATCTCGAAAAAGAGAGTTTGGCAGTCTTTGTTTGAAGAACTTTTAGCAACTTCATTCACACTTCAAAAATCTAAAGGTCAATGTTGTGTAAATTGCTGGCTTTGTTTGATGGACCAATACTTTTCATTCTGTCTGTCAGCTGGTATTTTCTGTCAATATTTTGACTTAATAATAAATACAAGAATGCAAGAATGTATCTTTTCTACAAACACTGGCATGGAAGAAACTGCATTAAAAGATATTGGAATAAGTTTATTGAATAGGATAAACCCCTTGAGGTGAACCGTCTCGAAACATGAACAGTTTAACTCAAAATAAGAAGAGAAACAATTTTTAAAAATGTGAAATGATGTTAAAGATGGGTATATTATTATTATTATTATTATTATTATATATTGTTAGATATATGGATAGACTTTTGACCATGATGTTTGTTTCTTATATTAAAGTGGTCACATTGTGCTTATTTAGGGGTTGTACTAGAACAGGTTTACATGGATTTTCAAAAAAACACTATATTTTTATATGAGATCATACTACACAGTGCTGCAGCTCCTCTTTTCACCCTGTGTGTTGAATGCTCCGATTTAGCTACAGAGTGAGGCATCTTACTTAAATCTTTGTTGGGAGTTGCAAATGCGCAGTACCTAGTTAAAGACTACTAGCCAATCAGAAGCAGATTGGACAGGTCATGAAAAGCCGGTAAACACAGCTTTGCTACAGCTGTATATGTTCCCCTTACCAGCTTAGCAACCTAGCTGGAGCAAGACTTTCAGAGTGGTGAGTTATTAATTTGTAACTGCACTGTCTCTACATGACAGTAACAACTTTATGTCCATTGACTGCCTGGAGGGTAGCTAATGTTTGGAAGGGAGAGGTAGCAGGTGGACATCTTGCCCCTTTGTGCTGCAGCTCAGTGTGTTATTCCATCTGTGTTTTTGAGGGCGTGCCCCACTAGGTGCTAGGCGAGCATTATGATGCGTGTTTTCTTGTGATGTCACAAGAAAGTGTAAGTAAAGACTACAAACGAGCTGTTTTCAGGCAGTTCAGAGCAGAGCTTTCTGTGGGAGATGGGAACTCCCTTTGGGCTGGACTTTGGGCTTTTTACTTTGCAAACCTGTTACATGAACAAAAAAAGAGACTCAATAAAGGAGAGGGAAAAGCCAAAAAGCATCATATGACCTCTTTAAGATAATACCTTATTTTACTTGGAAATGATCACTTAACATTGCACTTTAATGTGCACATTTACCCCCTACAGGTATTTGCTATCTCCTAAGTGGATCCTAACCTATGGTTGGATAGGATACATCTCAGTTGTTCAGAAATTGAGTGACAGAACAGAAATCTTGAAACAATCTTTTAAGAAGTCATAAGCCAAAATTTTAGGAACCAGTGTCTCAGGATAATTACAACATATTTCTATCTGAGGGAGCTAAAAATGCAGGTGATAAAATATTCACTTTTACAGACACGCTGTATGTTGCAGAACAAAAGAAAATAAAGGATGAACTGCCTATTTATTCATCCAACCCGCCAATCCACAAACATATAAAATTGACATCCAATTTACCAGACAAATTCCTTATTTTGTGCTGTCTATGCAGTATTTTTCACACTGTGAAAAACACAGACATAAGTGCTAGCTGCCGTTTCAAACTGTCCTTGTAGTGTGTTACAGGTTTATATCTTCTGAATATCTGGGCGGAGGCCTAAGTTGCTAGACCAAACCTAGTGGGTGCTTCCCTTTTTGGAGTTAATAATTCATTAAATAAGCATATTACTTTACATTACATTATTATATGTTATCTGGAGGAAAAGTCCTCATACTTTTAATTATGTCTTTCTCATGTACATTGCCATACTGTATTTGTCTGTTGTTTTCCTCTATTTTTATCCCATTAATGTGCTGATCACATACGTAGCTTAGCTGTAACTTTTAAAACTGTCAAATTGGATGAAACACTTTCCACCAGTGATGTTTGAAGCTTCTGATGTCATCAGATTAATAATATTCTTCCTTTGAAGCAATGTATTGAAACAGTGTGCACGCTACTAGCCTAAGCATTACAAGTGCAGATTCACACACCTACAATACCAACTGCCCGCAGTTCACTGGTTGATCCTGCTTAATCACTTTCTGTGGAGAGCAGCTGAGGTTTACGCCTTCTGAAAAACTTATTTCCATAGTCCATAAGGTGGTTAGCTAGCTAGCAAGCTTGCCCACTTTGATGACATGAGTTAATGAAACAGACACACATAAGACAACAAATCTCTATGACAATGTTAAGGCGGACCTGTATGCTAGATGCCAATATTTCCCCAGTAATAGAACAAAGTTGAGGATATTTTAAAAACCTAAAACATTCGCCCCACCCCCCGTCCCCACCCCCTGCTCTGTCTGTGCTGAATATCCTTGAAATTCCAACAGGGACCCTCCCCCTGTAATTCTTTATATATGTGAGAGCAAGGGACAGATGAGAAGATGAGGCTGCCAACTTGAAGGCCGTCCAGCTCTCAACATTCTCCTCCAACAACACGCCCGCTTGTGATAAATCTCCCCTTTATTTCCATGTCACATTTGAATCCTGCTGGGGTTATTTCACTACGTCCACCTGAGCCCTCTTTCATCTGCTGCTGCTGCTTTCATTGAACCATTTCACCCAGGGTTATATGGCCATGTGCATGTTTTAACCCTGATTTATGTGTTCTTCAAGTTCCATCACTTAGGAGTCACCAGAAGAGACCAGATTAAACGTGCACCCTGAAACCAACGATGTCATGCATTTGTCCAGTGATCTCTTGAGCTCTCAAGGGGTCAAGTGTGTGATTCATTATTCCTATTCAGTGAGTTACTAGCTACTGCATATTTAGATCTGATAAAGATATTAATATTTTCCCAAATGTAGCAGTGATTTAAGTCTTCGCCAGTGAGAGTGTTTCAGCTGCCACTCAAGCATTGCGGAGTGTCTCTTGTCCAACCATTGAACATTTGACCAGTGCCAGTAGAGCCTGCTGGGATATCAGCATGGCCATGCATTATGCAAGATTTCAACAACTACAATCTTTATGTATAAACAATTCATCTATTTAAAAATGAGTTTTGAATCAGTTGCAAGGTGTCCTTGCCCTCCCCGTCTGGATGATGGATTTCGTTGCAAAGCCTCAGAAATTGCTCATCTAGAATTTATTGCACAAGCACAAGAGTATGGGCTTGGCAGTGCTAGTTCCATGGCGTCAAACATGGTATTCATGCCCTTGACCTGAAAAGGGGATCTATATCAGGATAACAATTGTTGTGCCGTTAAAGAATCATTATTTCTAAAATTTCGAAAATTTGCTCGCCAAAAACATATCTTGACCGTTTAGTTGGAATGATTCAGAACCAGGAAATGATTCTCTTATCACTCCAATGTGAGCAGCAGGGTGTGCAATATTAGATAAGTAAAATAGACATTTTAAAATAAATCAAATCAAATTCAGAAAAATATATATAGGAAACAATTACATAATTGAAGAGATTATAAAATTCAACTCATTGTATTTCATAGGCGCACTGTCACTTTTCTTTACAGTAATGTTGTCACCACCAACTCACCTTTTAGCCAATAAACACAACTGCAGATGGATGGTTGACTCAGAATTAATTTGCCGTTGTTGTTGCTCGAGCTAACAGGAGCTAATTCGTTAGATCTGGTAGCATTTGTTGACCTTGCTTGCTTTGTTAAAGCAACATTATGTAGTAATTTAATCTTAAAATAATAGCTTGATGGTTTGATTAATAGGGAGTGGCCTTTTTGTCATTGCCACTGCGGGCCTGGAGCGCCTGGTATTACACTATGTAGCATTGGAATCCCAGGCAGGAAATCTATAGCGAGAATGGCATAATGCTTTATGGCACCATTTCACACACCAACAAGACTCTTCAGCAACAGTGCTGGGCAATTTACTTCCAAAGATTAATAGTTACTGTCATTTGAGAGTAATATATTTATATTACAAT